ATTATATTATATATATATATATATTATATTATATTAATTATATTATATTATTTATATATTATATATTTATATCATTTTTGAAGGGGACCTATTATGGGGGGTAGGGCCAATTATGGACCAATCCACATAAAATTTTATAAAGATATTTTGCCTCGCATAGAACTTATTCGTATTTTTAAGACAGCAATTAGCGTCTATGGACTATGGACCGATCCACATAAAATTTGATAGAGAGCTTTTGCCTTGCATGAAACTTATATGTGTTGAATTTCAGTGCCAGTAATGAGCGTTGAAGTAAATTTTTGAAGGGGACCTTATATGGACCGATCCACATAAAATTTTGAAGAGAGGTTTTGGCTCGTAAGAAACTTACTTATGTCGAATTCCATTGCTATACTCGTATTTTTATGACAATAATGAGGGTTAAAGTCATTTTCTCAAGGGGAACTTATATGGGGGTCAATTATGGCCCGATCCTCATAAAATTTGGTAAGGAGATTTTGGATGATATGAAACTTATTTATGTCGAATTTCATCGCTATACTCGTACTAACAGATATGGGGGCTATCCGAAAACGTGGACCGATATTGCCCAATTTCAAAACCAAACAAACCTTACCTATACAGAATATTTGTGGAAAATTTCAACCATCTAGCTCATTCCGTTCGGACTCTATCGTGCTTTCAACAGACAAACAGAAGCACATGGCTGGATCGTGATAGAATTTAATAAGGACCCAGAATATTTATACTCTTGTGGGTCTATGACTAATATTTCGATGTGTTACAAACGGAATGACAAAATCAAGATACCCCAATCTTTTTTTGATGGTTGCTATAATAAGAAGTAGAAGTAAGCTGCCGCTGTCCGGGTAAATTTTTCATATAAAGCGTTCCGGAAGAGATTTTTTTAGTTAATCACGTTATCTACACAATGTTAATATAAAATATAAAAAATATTGTTTAATATGTTAACATTTAATAGAAAAAATATTTCTCTTAAATTACAATAAAATGATATTTGTTGCTTGGTATTTTTAGATTTTTTACATAAATATTTTAAAATATTAACGAAGTTTTTCTCCGTTTAACGGAAATTTTTAAATATTAAATTGTAAACAATAACAAACTTTGATAGCTACGTAAACCAGGCGAATTGAGAAAAAAATATCAGCTGATTGAATAACACCACCTTATCTGAATTCGCTTGTTCTATTCATTTTAATATCTCTTGGGAGAGAAATCAAAAAACAAAATGCATAGATATCGCTCATGAAGGCAACATAAAAAATGAAGAGTTCAAATAAAAATAGTTCTCATGAGCTTAAAAATAAAACTTGTGAAATTGAGTTGTATAACGAGAGTAATAAAAAATAGCATTCACGAGTGCAAAAATTACCTACTCTGCATAAAATTAACTTATACCAAATTTCAGCATGTTTTCTGCCTAATTAACATTTTATGACGGTTTAAAATGTATTGCATAGGTTTACATGTATGCCTAAACGTGAACCAATATTACCCATTTGTATTACCAAACAAACCTTATCTCTTGGAAATATTTGTTGAAATTTTTATCCATATAGTAGCATATAGGCGAAAGGGATTGCCATCTATTAAGTGCTAATATCCTCGCAATTTCGCGAAGAAAATTTTAAGTTTTGTGAGTGCGTTTAGTTCTCTCAAGTGTGTTTTGTTCTCTCAGAACTCGTCTGCGTGAAGAGAATAACAAATTTTATTTGACAACCCCTTCAGTTTCGCCTATATCCCTACTGTATGGTTTTAGCCTTCTAGCTCTTTCTGTTTGGACTCTATCATGCTTTCAAGATAGATGGATGGACATCGCTAGATCATCTTAGAATTGAATAAGTATAAAATTTATATACTTACTGCTTTATGCAAAAACCATTAATAAAGTTTATAATTGTTTACTACACAATTTTTCCATATAAAAACAGGTTTTAACAACCATTGATAACTTAATAATCGTTTTTGCATAAAGCAATTAACAAGTATTTTTAAAACTGCTCCATATTTCGTCCCACTATAACCGACATTGTGTAAAATTTTAAGAATATAATTAAATATTAATTAAAAATGTAAAGTAGTTTAAAAAATGTTTCAAATTTCGTAAAAAATCCAGTAAATGTGTAAAAAACTGTTAAAAAGATTGCATAAAGCAACAAAAATTCTATAATAAGTATTTGCTGATAATAAACATGAACACAAGGCGAATTCGGATAAGGTGGTGGCAGTTCGGTAACAACAAAATTTTCCATGTAATTTGCGTCCTGACATTACGTTGATTACGATAGTTGCGAGGGTTTGTTGTTGTTGCTGCTGATATGGCAGTGGTTGTTGTTGATATTGTTGGGTTTGTTGTTGGCACTGCTGTGCGCAGCAATGATGTTGTTGTTGGGGTGTGCCGGACTGTTTTTTCTTGCCATGGCTTTTGTTTCTCCTTTTTTTGAGGACTTCCGATCCTTGGGACTGCCGCTGCCTTGGGTTGGTTGTTGATGGGCCGCGAGTTTGGCCCCTTTTTTCGACCTTTTATGCCGGTGAAGGAGGGTATGATGTTCTGACATGCACTCGATGCACCGCTCTCTGCTGATGCATTTGTCTTTCATGTGGGAGTGAGCCAGGCAGTTAAAATAATAACGGTACTTCTTCACCGTTTTCCACCGCTCCCCCACCCACATCTTCCTAAATTTCGGACACTTCCTCAAGGCATGCTCCTTTTTGCATATGCGGTAGTCCCGAAGGATCTCATCAGGGAAAGTTTTACTGTCTCAACGGGTTTGCGGGGGACTTCTAGCCGGCGGTTCTCGGTCGATATCTTGCTAGGGGTAGAAATAAAGAGAGAAGAAAAAAATTAAATTAGTCAGTTTCTGACTTTGGCAAGAGAACAAGCTTCACCTTGCTGTCATAGCCTACATGGGTCTTCTCTATCCTGCCTAAACGCCATTCATTCGGGGCTAAAATATCCTGACGCATCACAACTAAATCTCCTACTTTGCAAACTGATGATGGAGCACTTTGAGTTTTTGCCATCTATTGGCAATACTCAATGAAAGATCGAAATGATCAGGTTCAGGCGGTGCCAAATGAGGTGCTACTATCAGAAAATGGCCTGGGGTTAAAGGGACTAAATCGAAGGGATCATCGCTCATTGCGGTTAAGGGTCTTGAGTTTAAGCAAGCTTCTATTCGGGTTAACATTACTCCTCAAAGGTAAATCTCTGCATTCCAGCAATTTTGTGAAAATGAGTTTTTACACTTTTTACGCCGGCTTCCCATAAGACGCACATAATTCATAATTTAAAGAGAAAAAAACAAGACCTATTTTATACACTATACTCAAAGTAAGCTATTTTAGGCGTTGTTCAAGAGCACTTCTATTTACCGTCCCAATACCTGTGTTCTAGAAACAATTTTGTCTAGAATCCCGTGAAAACACTCCACCTAATTCATTATTTACCATAGAAAACACATAACTTTAAATTCAATTCGACATTATGTCAATTCAGATATTTATTCATTTAAATATATCGAACATTATTAGAGTTTTATAACTTAAAAATTTTATAAAAAAATGTATAAGTTTATCTTATAGTTGCAAAGTTTTATAGATGAAAATTATAGAAAGTATCTTATTTAAACAATAATTAACAAAAAAAAAAATAAAAATAATAGTGAGAGCTTTCATTAACAAAATTTCATTTCATTAAATTTTTCATTAATATTGGACTCACCACACATGTAAATTTTCGATGATCTAAAAGAGATCCTAGAGATCGATGAACATCTCGCAATTTATGTTGATACTTATTTTAAAAAAATTTACATAAATTTTCTAATGTTATAGATAACAAAAGGGTTTGCTTACGATCAACTTTTACCAATAAATTAACCAATCACAATGTAATTGTCTAACTTATACATATAAAGAACTAGCGGCGCGTACCCGGCGTTGCCCGGGTTTCTTCTAAAATAAAGATAATATTATTCTGTCTGTAATGATTGTACTTTTTTTAATAGATGTCAAAATTTAGCTTATAACGATAAAATAGTTATTATATTTTTCTGCATTTTGTTTAATACTTAAAGTCAGTTTCTGGACAAAAATGTCCCTTAAAAATTTACAAATTGAAAATGAGCTTTAATTAGGAAATTTTGACTAATTTGTAGAAACATTTAGGAAAGTTTTTTTGAGAAATTATACTGAAATCAGCATTCTCAATCACTGATAGGGAACTAAGGACACTTTCAAATTAGTTGTTTTTTTCCCATGTGCAGTTGATTTAAAGAACTGTTCAGTTTAAATTCGGTCACACTGTACTTTGAATTGTAGTGCCCCTGGTGTATAGAGGCAAAAGGCTTCGGGGCATTTTATTAACTACAAAAATACGTACCATTAACCGTACAAAATTTCAAGCGATTTTCTTTCTATTTAGAAAAGTACAGGCAATTGAAGAAACTCTAAAACGATTATGAAACATTCTGCACAAAATTATAAAAAATTTAGAAGATTTCAAATTCCTTTAAAAATAACAAAATTAAGTTTTTTTTTCTGTTCTAAAAAATATGAAGAAACCTTGAATCTTGACAGAGAAAACAAAACAACTTTTAATTTGACAAACAATTTTGAGTCGTTCATTAAAGAGTAAAACCACCGTTTTTTTCTCATCATTGTTTCTCAAAAATACATCCATTTATACAAAAGTATGTTTAAACATATTATTTTTATTCATTAGCTTTTATACATCCACACTAAAGTTTTGACTGAATTTAGACACCACTTATTAAATCCGAAGAAATAAAGGTCAAATATCGTTAGATGTACAAAGCAGATACCCAAATAATTTTACTTATTAAAATATCCACGTCTTCCTCTAATTAAAAAAATTTCAGAATTTGCAAATGGTAAATGGAAAATTTGTGCTGCAGTTATTCAAAATTATTATTTAATTTGAAAAGCTTAGAATAAATACGGCGCTACATACAGAAAAAGTTGTGCAGAATTTTTGGTTCATAATTTTCTAAAAGTATAAAAAGATATCGATCAATTTATCCAAATTTTTTTTTATCGTTTGAGAGGTCTACCTATATAAGATTTGCAAAAGTGATGTCTTTCGGGACACTCTAATGAGTAGTCAAATACATATCTTCAGGGTTTTTTAGATTTGAGCTGGATTTGAAAAATGGAATAGAAATTTTAAGGGGAGATATGAATGATTTTCTAGATAGATTTAGGTGTTAAAGGAAGGAACCACAGCCGATTTAAAATTCGAATTTAAGTGAAAATGTAATATGAATATATTATTTTCCCTATTTTAGAAACGGTTTTGTTCAGTAGTTTTTATTCTGCTTACAAATGTGGCATCGTAGGCATTCATTTAAAAAAAGAAAATCGATTTTTGATAATAAATTAAATTGAATACAGATTTTTACTTTACCTAATCGTAAAGTTAGTTAAGGATCTACAAACATTTTAGAGTTTTCATATAAAAATAAATTTTTGATTAAAAATTTAACTACATAGTAATTCTCATTTACTATGAGAATTATATATCATGTTCTTTAGCATTATAAATGTAATAAAAAGTGGACGGAAAAAGGTCATTGCATTTCATTATAGGTGTATTTATGCTATGGGTGTATTTATTCGGATTTGGTGTATTAAACCTTCTCTTCCTCAAACACTGTATGTTGCCAAATTTCTTGAAAATCGGTTCATGTTTTTTTTTATTAAGCCTAGAAATTTGGTGTTATAGAAGTTATTCAAAAAGTGAACATAAAAATGTGCGTATCATCCAATCAATATCATATAGAGTTTTTTTATACCCTCCACCACCATCAGTGGTGATAGATGGTATATATAACTTTGTCATTCCGTGTGTGACACCAAGAAATATTCATCTGAGACCCAACAAAGTATATTTATTCTTGATCCTTATGAAATTCTGAGTCGATTTAGCTATGTCCGTATGTCCGTCCGTCCGTCTGTGTAAAACACGCTTACGTTAAAACGAAGCAATAAAAATTCACGAAATTCACTCAAAACATTCCTTATTATCCGATCCAGTTTGTTATTAAAAATCAATAAAGCCGGTTAACGACGTAAAAAGTTATGATTAAAAATTTCAGACTACCTCGAAAAAAATAAAGTTTTTTTTCCAAATTCTTAATTAGTTTTCTCAAAAATTACCGAAGATATTTCGATGAATTTTGTCACACATTATTTTTTTGTGCCAGGGATCAAGTATGTTCAAACTCATAACAATTGATCCAATATTTCCCATAGCTCCCATACAAAGGTGTCTATTCCCGGATATAAGTTTATCGTTAATAACTCCCTCAAATATATCGATATCAATACAAAATTTTATACATACAAATATAATATGAATAGAAATCATACTACCAACGTAGATCTCAGTCTGTCCACAATTGGTCATAGCTCCCATGTAAGGTCCACTTCCAAAAATCACCTAAACACACATATTTCATTGACAAATAAGGCTTTTGTGATAAAATTCGAGCTGAATGTGTTTTGTGTACATACAAATCATTCTACCAAATTTCTTTTCGGATTGGTCCATTATTAGTCATAGCTCCCATATAAGGCCCACTTCCGAAAATCATTTAAACTCACATATTTCATTGTTAAATAAAGCTATCTTGATAAAATTCGACATAAGTATGTATTCGGCATAGCCGAATATAGCACTCTAACTTGTTAACTTCTGAGGTTAGACCTATTAAACGCCAAATTTTATGTAAATAAGTTTATTAGTTATGTAGTGAAAGAGTAAAAAAAGAGTTTCATATATATTTATTATAGGTTTTGAAGATGTAATGTGTCGTGCTGTTCATTTCACAACATTCATTATAACAGATTTCATGAAAATCGGAACAGTAGATATTTGTATGCCTGACCGTAAATTTGGTTTAATGATTGTTTTACAAAAAGTTGGCATAAAAAGGGGCGTGGCGTCCGATCCTGATCTTATATAGCCTATTGTTCCTTTTGGGGTTAGACCTATTAGCGATCCAAATTTCATGTAAATCGGTTCAGTAGTTTTGCCGTGAAAGCGTAACAAACAAACAGTCAGTTTTATATATATGTATATGTTTTATATATATGTATATGTAGGATAGGATTTTTTAGAAATGTTTAGGATTTATCTTACTACAATTTCATGTACATTTTTAATACTTAAAAAAAAATACTAAATTATTTGCAAATGGTTTTTGTTTGTTGGTTACAATATGTAAAATAACGAATAATAAAGTTTTTTTAATGATTATTAATGATCAATTGTTCTACTATGTTGTTTAATTCTTGTTCTTGTGCAAAAAGGAAAAAAACGAAAAGAGAAAAACAAATTAACAAATTATTAAAATATATTGCGTAACTGATATTGATCAACTACACAATGTAGGCGGTATTATTAGTTCACTTACTAGTAAATTTATTTTTTTAAGGATATTAGGAATTTTGAAATTATGAAATTTAGGTAGGTAAATTGGTTTATTGCGTTTTTTTCTCGTTTTGCGTTTTTTTCTCGGTTGTCTTAATGGAAAGGTGAGCTTATTGGTCAGATGAATTTGGTAATATTTTGAAGAAGTTTTTTAGTTTGGTTAAATTCTCCCTTTAAGCATGTGCAGATTTTTTTGGAGGTTTTGTATATCTGCCTTCCGAATTTTTCTGATTAGATGTGGATTATATCCATACATCGGTTTTCTTGCTGAGACTTCAGGGAAGATTTGCTTAACTGGTTCTGTAACATGTGCAGAAGTAGATGTCTTCATTGTACAAAACAGACGCACATATGAAA